ATATCATGTGTATATGATGTAATAAAAAATAAATACAACTTCACCAGGTGATTACAGTCAACATCAACAATAATGTCAGATTGATAATATGTACCCTTGATGTGATGTGCCCTTAAATGGCACTTGATCTCTGTGGTCTTCCTCCCAAAAACACATTACTCCAAGTCTCATCATGGGAAAAACATTGCACAAGTCCCAGTTGAGGAGCATTCTAAAAATATCTGTCCTCCTCAAAGCCATTGATAGCTTTAAATTGTCATAAAAATTAAGGAAAGTCTACCATTCCAAAATTTACATAATAATGACTTTTTAAAAGTTATTGTTCATGTAAATAAAATGGTCCTCCAGGTCCTTATAAAAATCAGATTCCTGTGGGCTGCTCTGACATATTAAATATTTGGAAGCTAAGACTCACTCAGACTTGGCCTTCACTGTTATCTTTAATATGTGTTTTTGTGCTTTATAATGATCTTAGACATAGTAACTTGATTCAGTGTAATAATAATAATGATGTTAATAACTAACAAAAAAATTAAGGGAAGTCTGAGAAACTATCACAGCCTAGTCTAAGGAGAGACATTAGCTAATGTAATGTGCTGTCCTGGATGGGATCCTGAAGCAGAAAAAGAACAGTGGGGGAAAAGTGAAAAAATCTGAACAAAGCCTGAACCTTAATAATAATAATGTATCAATATTGGCTCATTAATTGTGACAAATACACCATTCTAATGTAAGATGTTAATAATAGAGGAAACTGGGTATAAGTAAATTCTGTACTCTTTACAATCATTCTGTAAATCTAAAACTACTGTAAAACTTTTTAAATAACACAATTTTTATAGTTCATATATTAACAAAATATATAAATTTAAAAATATATAACTATGTTGTTTATGTATTTGCTGTATGTTGCATATAAATAACATGACTCCTTTGAGATATATAACAAACTGTGTGTAGTAAAGTCTCAGCAGCCATAGAAACATCAACAGCTGTAGTTATCTCTGGCTGGTGGCATTTATTGTGATTTTTTTTCTCTTTGCTTATCTAACTGTGATATTTGTACAATGAACATGGATTACTTGGGTAATTTTTTTTTTTTAATTAAAAAGGGTCAGAAAAAATTGGAAAAGACTTTGGAAAAGGCAAAAAGATTCCCAGACCTCCTGGTGCAGCTGGCACTTGAACAAAATGGGGTGGTTTCATCCAAACTCTGGCTCGGCCCCATCTCTCAGGAATTTGAGCCAGGGGTCACTGAACAAATAGTTAATCCTACTGCCCTCTCTTTGGAGCTCCCATTCCAAACAACCTTCACCCCTATTCCAATGGGCAGAAGGATCCAGACAGAGAAAATAACCAGACCTTAAGTCTGACCTTTGCCTCATTCTGGGCCAATAAATAACTGGCTCAAGGGAGATTAGGCAGGGCCCTGCAAGCACCCCACCCTTCTGTCCATGTCTTGGCTGCGTCTCTCAACACAGGGAATCGCAAAGGCCATCAGCCAACCTACTCTGCGGCCTGGTGCCCACTCTTTGCTCTTGTATCACCCACCTGGAATAATGCCCCTTCTAAAGTTGCTGTTTTCAAGGCTCTGTTCAACTGGCACCGCTACCCTGAAGGCCTCATATCTTCTCCCTGCCCCAGGTAGCTAGGCATGGTGGCAGTGCATAGAGCGGGTGTTAGCCTGGAATTAGTAGAGCCCACCAAAGCTGTTGGCTCTGTGATCTTCATGCACACCCACCTCCAACCCCAAGGGGATGCACAGTGACAAGAAGAGCCACCTGGCCCCTGGTCACATTGACTCACTGTGTAACTTGAGCTAATTCCTGTCCTTCTCTGAGATGGACAGATGTCCCAACGACGACAGGAAAAAGTTAGACCAGATCACTGTTTCCCAAACTTCAGGCATTTATTACCTTGTTTTTCCGTATCTACATACTACTTGTGCACTTAAATTATTTTTTAATTAAAGAACTTAAATTTTTTTTCTTTAATACATATAACAAAAATTTTACCACTTTTAAGTGTACTGTCCTGTGGCATTCACATTGTGTGACCAGAACTTTTTTATCTTTCCTAATTGAAACTTCATCCCCACTGAACACTCGCTCCCCATTCCTCCCTTCCCCAGCCTCTAGCAACCAGCATTCTACTTTCTACTTCTATGAGTCTGTGAGTTTGACTACTTTTTTTTTTTTTTTTTAATTCATTTGAGAGAGAGAGAAACATGGATGTGATCAGGGATTGAAGTATGGTGCCCTTGGCCAGAATTGAACCAGAATCAGTCCTGGAACCCTTTCGTCCTTTGATGCACGGTTTTTAAATATGTTTTTATTGATTTTAGAGAGAGAGGAAGGAGGAGGGAGAGAAACATCTATCAATTGCCTCCTGCACGCCCCCTACTGGGGATCAAACATGTGCCCTGATCAGGAATCAAACCAGTGACCTTTGGCTCATGAGATGATATTCAACCAACTGAGCCACTGGAGCAGGGCTGCAGTTTTAATTTTGATGTAGTCCTATTTATCTGTTTCTACTTTTGTTGACTGTGTGTTTTTTTGGTGTCATATCATAGAAATCACCGCCAAATCCAATGTCGTGAAGCTTTCCCCCTGTGTTTTCTTCTATGGGTTTTAGATCTTAAGTTTAGGCCGGTGATTTCTTCATTTTCAGTTCATTTTTACACACAGTAGAAGGCAAGGATCCAACTTCGGTTTCTGTATGTGGACATCCAATTCTCCTGCCTAATTCTCATTCCTGCTTTAGACCTCTGCTTAAATATTTAGACTTTCCCTGACCCAGCTATCTAAATGACTCCCCAGGCCTCAATGACTATTCTTTTCCCGTGGTATCCTGCTCTTTTCCTGCAGTAAAGCTATCACTGTTGGTAATCCCCTATCTAATGCTCTGTGGGTTTGTGTATGTCTCTACCATCAGACTCCCTGAGGGTGGGGTCCCGTCTCACAGCTCTGTTCTCAGTGCCTAGTACACCCAGGGTACAGGGTAAACATTTGCTCAGTGCCTGTGCAGCTTGCCCCACCCACCCTAAGGTGGGGCAGGCCCAGCCCACCACAGGGGCGTGGCCAGAGTAGGGAGTCTTTGTAGAAGTGAGAACTGAGACTAGACATGTGCTTCAGGTGATCTTTGTGGCAATGGCCTGCTCAGACCCTGGGGAGGGGGACCAGCCCTGGGAATAAACAGGCCTTCACCTCCTAGTCCTGGCTCTCTGTTCCTCCATCCCTCCCATGGTGACAGCTGAGAGCCTGGGTGGGCGGCAGGTCCCAGCCTGGGGACAGGTCCCTTCCCAATTATTCTGACTTGGGGTGAGGGGGTGGTGAACAAAGTTGGTTTCAAAGAAAATGTCACAGGAAAAAACAATGCAGGGATTGAGTCTTGCTTGCTGCCATTTGAAAGGAATGAAAGTGGGATTAACTAAAAAACAAAATCCAAACCCAGACCAAAACAAAACCACTCTACTGTTTTAGAATCTGCCTTGGATAACAATCATCTTATTGTTTTCTGTGTCATAATAAAATTATTGGTTTACCCAAGCACTTTGTTCTGCACTAGGGCTCCACCAGTAAGCAGAGAGGATAGTCTCTGGGTAACGATTTTGCAGCTACCAAGAAGCACTCCTTATTCCTGAGTACCTTACCTGCTGGGGGGTAGGGTCAGGTGTGTCGGGAGGAAGCAGTGGGACATCCAGTTGAGCGGGAAAAGGGTTCAATCAGCATCGACCAGTGATATTTTCAAATCAGATCTTGCCATTCTCCTGCTTGAAACCCTCAGGGTTTAGAATAAAATGTCAACCCCCTCCACTATTCTGCAGAATAAATATGGGCCAGCAAAAGATATCGGACCCTATCCTGGCACCTGCAACTTTTAGTTGGTAAAGAAAATATTTAGCAGGTTAAATTAAGGTTTGTGACGAGGGGAGATTACCTGGGTGGGCGTTAATCCAATCATGAATGTGGAATCTCACCCTCACTCATTTTTGCCCCAGCCACCAGGGATCTTCTTCCAAACTGTTTGGCTTCATCCAGCTTCATGGCCTTTGCACTTACTGAGTCCTCCCCCCAGACCTTCCCAAGGCAGGTCCCTGCTTATGAGTCAGCCTGTGCAAACATGTCACCTTCCCTGATAGGAAAGGTCTTCTTCTTTGACCGCTCTATCAAAAAATTGCCTCCTGGCCATCTCTGTCACATCCCCCCTGTTTTACTTTAGTCATAGCATTTTTCACTATGTGAAGTTTTCCAGGGCCTGACGTACAGTAGGCCCTCAGCAAACATTGGTTGGCAAATAAAATGAGTGATCTGTGCAAGCCTCTAAGGGTCGAGGCCTGTGTGTGCTCCTGGGTGCAGGGGGGCAATGAAACCTTACGTCCAACATCGTCTCCCACCGTCTAAGTGACACCCCGGCCCCAGGGGCTTCATTTATTCTGCACAACAGCTCTGTGAAGCGGGTCCTTTCATATCCCTGCATGACAGTCGAGGAAACGGAGCCTCAGAGATCTTCTAAGTTACTGCTCAGTATGTTCATAAGTGAAACTGAGTCACAGAGACCCTCCGCTGCCAGGTGCCCAGTCTCCCGGGATACTGGTCCCGCTTTAAGGGGAGAGCACAGAGAGGCTCAGGGGCTGGCCAACGGGCACCCAGGGCCCTAGAGACACCCAGAGAGAGGCGGTGGCTGTTACCGGCGAGGAGGGCGCGGAACAGCACTGTCACTTCCCAGCGGGCCGCCTTCCCCCGGACAGAAACGCGCAGCCGTCTGGGTTGGTTCTGGCGGAACCATGTCACTGACCGCAGCCTCAGTTTCCTCGTCTGTAAAGTGGACCGACGCGACTTCATGTGTCTCTCCGAGCTGGACGTGCGGGCGGCGAGCGAAGAGTTAAAGGGGCGGGTCCCGCGGCGAGGGCGGGGCCGGGGCCGGGGCCGCAGCCTCACCTGGCGGCTCCGGGACCTCTCCTCCTTCCACGCCGCGCGTAGCGCCGGGAGCGGCGGCTGGAGCGGGCTTCCCCCGGGAGGTGCAGCGCAGGAGACGGCGGGGAGGCGAGCGGAGCCGCGATGGCCGAGTTCCCGTCTAAAGTGAGCACGCGGACCAGCAGCCCGGGGCAGGGCGCGGGCACCTCGGTCTCTGCGCTGCGCCCCGACCTGGGCTTCGTGCGCTCCATCGTCGGCGCGCTCATGGTGCTTCAACTGGTGAGCGCGCGCGGGGCCCCGGGGGGATCGGGGACTCCGGGAAGGGCCTCCTAAGCACCCCGTACACCCCCAACCGAGGCTCCCAGGAGCCCCGACAGGCCGTGCCTACCCCGGGGGCGCCTTTAGGACCGACGCCCCGAGGTCGCCCTGGAACCCTCTCACCTCGAGAATCCCCGCTGCCGTCCCTGCGCGCACCCGCGTTCAGAACGCCCACTCCAACGCCCCATCATCCCCCCAGGGGGTCACCAGAGGCCACCCACAGAAGCGCCCCCGTAGGGCACAATCGCTGCGTACGACTCTGTCTCTGTCGGTGCGAGGACAGGGCCCCGGCCCTCGAGAGGACCCGGCCTAAATCGAAGTCCAGTCTCGGCTAACTCTCTCTGCGTGGCCGCACCCACAACACTCCTGGTCTAGTCGCCGGGGCGCATCCGTTCCAGCACGTGAATTCAGGCGCTGCCCTGTGGGCTCCCCCGCGAGCCGGGCCCTTCTGGCTTCCACTGGGGGAGTCGCCGGGCTGCAGCCGGTTAGGCCGGCCGAGCGGACCGGGGTGCCGCACCCAGCCCCGGGGGGGAAGCCAGGGGTAGGGAGCTCCCTCTTCGCGACGCTCTGAGGACCCCAGGTGCGGCGGACGGATGGGAACGCCCCTCTCCCCCTCCACGCACACTTGTTCCAGGCCTGGGGGCTTTGTGGGGAGGGGGGGTCACCTTTCCTCTGCTAAGTGCCCACTGGTGCGAGTCAGGAAGCTGGGTGGCTTCCCTTGTGGGAGGCTGTCCCCCAACCGAGGGCCTGAGCTATTTACCGAAGATAGTGGGGACTCGATCCGTTTTCCTTTAGGGCCTCTCCGGAGGGCCCCCCCACTGCTGAGTCCTGGGGGGGGGGTGCCAGGCTCAGCGTGGAAGGAGGGGTCCTCTGAAAACAAACCCCACTCCTGGAGCCCTTCCCCCTCTCCTGGGTCACTGCTCTCCCTAATTCCGAATTTCTCAATTCTCTCCCTGGGAGCCCCGCTTCTGCACCCCAGCCTCAGATTCTCCTGGAGGGGGTTGTTTAAAATGTAGCTTCTTGGTCCCCACCCCACCCCCAGAAAAAATGTGGAATTAGAATTTGAATCTCAGGAAGCGCAGCCCAGAAATCTACATTTTTAATTCTTCTCCAGGGCTTGTTTTGGAGATGGGGGAGGGAGATGAGGGGTGCGGTCGGGGACTGACTGAGATCTGCAGCTGGGCTGCGTGCGAGGCTCTGGGTGACAGGGAAGGGCACAGCAGGGAGCAGGAAGGGAGCAGGGCCCCCAGGTGTGAAGGGCAGAGGAGTAGGAGGCCAGTTCCGAGTCCAGGAAGTCTGGTGGAAGAGAGATGGCTTTGGAGCAGGACTTCCCTGAACCCTGAGGCCCGGTAGGGAAAGGGTGTTCAAAGGGCAGGGTGCCCTGTGAGCCAAGGCTTGGCCACCCGAAAGTAGAAAGGAAACTGAGGGGAGTAGCCAGCAGGTTGGTGAAACTGGACTAAGCTGAGGGCCTGGCCTTGGCTGCCTGTGGGAGAGGTGGGGACCGTTGGCAGCAGTAGGAAGTTTGGGACCAGCAGAGGGATCTCTGCTGGGCTGAGATGCTGAGTCGGGCGGTGGATCCCTAGGGTTAGCTTCTGGTAGACAGGACCTGAGCACCACCCCCTCCTTTTGCATTGGAACAGTGAGGATTGGAATAAGTGGAATTAGAGGAATTTGGACTACGAAGGGCATCCTGCTGTGTCTGGGGGAGGGGAGGGGGCTTGGTAGCTTCCTCCAGTGGAGGCCCTTATCTCCAATTTGGGTGTCCCTGTGAGCTCAGCAGACCAGTCCTGAGCATTTGGGTCCCATCACACAGATGTCGACACTGAGGGCTAGATACAGCGTAGTCCTGTAGTGGAGATGGGCACTTAGGTCTCCAGACTCCCAGGTAATGGGTGTGACAGGAGTCGCCTTCCTTTGCCCTCAGTACTTTTAGGGCACAGAGGATGAGGGTCTCCCATCAGAGTTCTGAAGACATGCACCTTTTAGTGCCTTCACCAATCTGCTTCAGGGACAAGCTGCTTCCTGAGCTGTTTCTCTGGCAACGGACAGTTCCACTGGGTCTGAGACAGAGGGGGTCACTCCATGGGTACCATCATCTGCTGAGAAGCCAAATAATCGCTCCCGCCAGTCAGGTACCCACCAGGCTACAGGCCCTTTGCCAAGGGCTTTATATTGTCTTACTCTTCCCCCTTTTACAGGTGAGGAACCTGGGGCTCAGGTCAGTCAGTTCTGTGCCCAAGATCTCACAGCCCTCCTCCACAGGGGAACTAATCCCTGAGTGGTCTGACTTTTCTGGCCTATGACCTTAATGACCACATTCAGCAATGCTCTCACTGGGCACAGGATCTGGTGCTATTGGAGGAATGGCTGCATTCCTCCAATAAATGGGAAGATGAGAGCTAATTCTCCATCAGACCTCTCTGTTTCCCAGGATTCAGTGAAGCGGTCCAGATGTGGTGGGAGGAGAGGGGTGGGGGCAAGAGATGTGCTTTTTGCCTGGTATTAAATGTGTCCTAACGAACCAGCAATCTCAGTGTCCGCTGATTTATCACCCTCCTCTCCCCATCTAGTTCCAAAATGAACATTAGTTCCAAAGAGATCATTGTACCAGCAACTTGGAGCAAGTTTAAGGCTGTTATTCTTTGTTGAGCTTCCTAGCAGCCTGGGCAAAAGGGGAAACATGGTGAATTTATGCAGATAGCATCTTGAAAAAGGAAGCAAGTTTGATCTAGAGACAGCTCTTGATGATAAAAACCTGGGAGTTTGATGTGTGGCTAGGGAGTATAGAAATGTTGTGGAAGGTATAGTTAATTTGTATTTTATGGCTAATCCCAAAGCCTTTCTAGAATGAGTATAAAGTGAATGTTGTTAAGTGACCATATGTTTATTATTTTTAAATCTTCCCCAATCCTGGGAAGAAAAGTGATGCAGCAAAGGGCTCAGACAGGGTGAAGAACTTGCCCAAGGTTGTGGGGTAAAGTGGCAGAGCTGGGATTTGCGCTCAGATCTGGGAATTCGAAGCCGAGCTTTGGCTATGTGTCCTGTTTTTATTGTTTTTTTTGTTGTTGTGCTTGTTGGGGGATAGGTGTTCCTATGCTTTGGAGGGGAAGGAGAGGGACTTCAGGAAGGGAGACTCTTCAGGAGCCAAGGCCACTCAGGAAGGCTTTCTGACAGAAGTGTGTACTGAAGGGTTTAGTTATATGGAAGGAGGCAGTGTTAAGAAGGATCAGAACAGACCATAGTTTATGCAAGGGCATCCTTGAGGCCTAAGATGTAGAAGTCATTGAATGCCCTGTGGCAATAGGGCTATTGAGTTTGATACCTCCTACCTCCTGGAACTGGGGTGAGCCACACAATCCCCAGTTTGCTCCATCCTGGTGCACTTGGGAGTGTTGGGAAGTTCTTCCTCCTGATGATCCTGGCTCTGCCTTCAGCCTCAGCTGGCAGTGCAGCTCCTCTTCAGTTGGGGGGCAGGGCAGGGCCTGAAGATCAACTCTGACCTCCAGGAAGGGGCTGCCTAGATGAGGTTGTTCAGGTCTGAGATGTGTGAACAGAGGTTGGTTGCATTGGGGCTGCAGTGTTGAGGTCTCCCCGGGCTTTCCTTAGCCCTGAGATATGTGAGTTCAGTATCCTTGGTGCAGCATTCCAGGCCCTGCGTGCTCACAGGCTTCCTCCAACACAGAGCAAAGCAGTGCTTTGTATTGTTAGCTCCGCCCACCTCCCCACTTGTGGCTGGGAGGGTGTTGACTATTTGGAATTAATTTAAAATTATGTAATAAATATACAAACACGTTCTCCTTAAACAATAAAAACCCATTACAGATAAGGCTAAAGTTATTGTTGAGTCACCTACCCCTTTCCTCCACCATTTTAGGATGTTTGCAGTTCTTTTTCCTGTGCATTTTTAAAAAATCATTGATGGTTTTATTCTGTATCTTTTGTTCAGGAAGTTACTTTTCTCACACCCAGTGCACCTGCGATCTCTTCATGCCATACAGAACTGTCTCCCTCCTTTGTAACTCTTTCAGGGTATCTTATAGTGTCACGGTAGCCCCCTCTCATTTAGCCATTTCTCTCTATAAAATATTGTTTGAAAAAATTAGCGACAAAAGCAAAACATTCAAACGGTACAAAGGGTTGTCAATGGAAATACAGTCTTTCTTGTCCCTGGCCGGGCCTGCAGGCAGCCACTATTATGTGTGCAGTGTTTCAGGGCCAGTCGATAAATATAATCCTGCTTAAAAACACACAGATGGGAGCCCTGGGAGCCTGTGCCTGGCCATGCTCTCTCCCCCTGGGCAGTACACCCAGATGTTCTATATCAGTGCCCATCGAGCTTCATGTGCCCTTTTTTTAATCTTTTATTTACTTAATTTCTTTAATAAGTAATATATTTACAGCGCTCCAGAGTCAAATAGAGTGGGAAAGCACAGTGAAAAATCTCTGTCCCGTTCGGTTAGAGGTGGCCCCCACTTCCTAGTTTCCTAGGCACCGGTTTGTTTGTAAGGAGATCTGCGCAAATGTGGCTCTAGATTCCTACCTGTCCCCATTCCACCCAAGAGACACAGTCTGCGCACGTCCTTCTGCACCTGTTTCACTTGAAAATGTGCCTTGGGGTTCCTTTGGTCGCAGCGTGTGCAGGGCGATGGCTTCTGCAGCGTCCCATTGTGCAGCTGAGGTGATTGCGTGGCCTGTCCCCTCCTTGACAGACACTTGGGCTTTCCCCTTGCTGACGCCCACCCTGCATCCAGGCGCTACACTTCCAGAGGTGGGACCGCTGGGTCGGGCTGTGTGTGTTCTTGATTTTGATAGGTTGCCACGTGCCCTCTGTAGGGGTCACACCCGTCCCCCCAGTGTGCCTCCTGGTAGAGTGCCTGTGCCCACAGCCTCACCAGCCTGGTGGGGAGACGGTGGGTCAGTGTAGCATTAACCTGTTGCTGTCTTAGGAGTGAGGTCGACCT